TCTCAATTTTCATTTTTGATTTTATTAATTTGTATACTTACAGAGACAGGCAGGTAGATTAATGAAATAGACTTAAAGACCCAGAAATAAACCCAAGTACCTATAGTAACTTGGTATTTGACAAAGGAGTTAAAATGATACACTGGAAAAAACAAAGCATTTTCAACAAATAGTGTTTGTTCAACTAGGGGTCAGAATGTAGATGAATGCACATTGTACATTCTTATTTCCTTGTTCAAAATTCCAGTCCAAATAAAGCATGTGCCTCCACATAAAATCAGGTATACTGAAACAAATAGAAAAGTAAGTGAGGAAGACTCTTGAACACATGGGCACAAGGAAAATTTTTCTGGACAAAATACCAATGGCTTATGCTCTGAGATCAAGAATTGACAAATGGGACCTCATAAAATTTCAAAGTTTCTGCAAGGAAAGGACACTGTCAATAGGAAAAAATACCAACCAAAACATTGTGAACTTAAATTACTAATTCTACATCCCAAAGAGGGTTAATATTCAATATATATAAAGAACTCAAAAAGTTAGCCTCCAGAGAACCAAATAACCCTATTAAAAAATGGGAATCAGAGCTAAAAAGATTATTCTGAACTGAGGAAACTCAAATAGCAGAGAAGCACCTAAAGAATAGTTCAACATCCTTAGTCATCAGGGAAATGCAATTGAAACAACCTTGAGATTTCATCTCCCATTAGCAAGAATGGCTAAGAGCAAAAATTCAGATGACAGCAGATTATGGTGAGGCTGTGGAAAAAGAGTAACATTTATCCTTTGTGGATGAAATTGCAAGATGGTACAACGACTCTAGAAATCAGTCTGGCAGTTCCTCAGAAAATTGGACATAGTATTACCTGAGGACCCTGCTATACCACTCCTGAGCATATAACCAAAATATTCTCCAACATGTCATAAGGCCACATGCTCCACTTTATTCATAGCAGCCTTATTTATAACAGCCAGAAGCTGAAAATAACGTAGATGACTTTCAACAGAGGAACAGATAGAGAAAATGTGGTAGATTTACATAATGGACTACTACTCAGCTATTAAAAACAATGACTTAATGAAATTCTTAGGAAAATGGATGGAATTTTAAAATATCATCCTGAGTGAGGTAACTTAATCTCAGAAGAACATACATGATATGCACTAACTAGTTATTGGAAACTAATCCAAATCCTCAGAATATCCAAGATACAATTCACAGATGCCATGAAGCTCAAGAAGAAGGAAGACCAATGCGTGGGTGCTTTGGTCCTTCTTAGAAAGGGCAAAAATAACCATGGGAGCAAATGCAGAGACAAAGTGTGGAGCAGAGACTGAAGGAAGGTCATCCAAAGACTGTCTCATCTCGGGATCCATTCCATATACAGTCACCAAACCCAGACACTATTAAGGATGTCATGAAATGCAGGCTGATAGGAGCCTGATATAGCTGGCTAATGAGAGGCTTTACTAGAGCCTGACAAAGAAAGAAGTGGATACTCACAGTCAACCTTTTGACTGAGCATGGGGTCCCCAATGGTATCCCTAATGGGGTCACCAATGAAGGAGTTAGGGATAGGAGTGAAGGAGAAGAACACATTTACAGCCCTATAGTAAGAACAGTAATATCAACCAGCCAGAAACCCCAGATCTCCCTGAGACTAAACCACTTACCGAGGAGTACACATGGAGGGACCCATTGTTCCAGCTTCATATGTAGCAGAATATGACCCTGTTGGGAATCAGTGGAAAAAGAGCCCCTCGGTTCTGTGAAGCCTTGATTCCTCAGAGTTGGGGAATTCAAGGATGTGGAGGCAGGAGTGTAAGGGTGTATAGGGGAACTCCCTCAAAGAATCAAGGGAAGGGGGATAGGATAAGGGGTTTCTGGTGGTGGGAACCAGGAAAGGGGATAACATTTGAAATGTAAATAAAGAAAATAAACAGTAAAAAATAAACTGAAAAAAATTAGGCTACAAAAGTTACAAATCGAAGAAACCAATTAAGGACTCTCAAAGTTTTTAAGAAATTATTGGGAGATATTAATTGTGTGTGCTTTCCAGTTGTCCTGGCTACTCAAGAGGTAAACAGTTCATTTCATACCTTACAAGGTGATAAAGATTTAAATAGTCAAAGAAATTTATCAGCTAAGGCTGAGGAGTTAGCTCTGCTAGAAAGGAAACTACAGGATACTTATCTAGATTGTATTAATTCAAAAAAGGCCTACATCTTAGTTATTTTACCTTCTACCCATTCCCCTACAAGAATTTCATATAGAGGGAAGATTATATTTTAGAATATACTTTTATCACATAAACAGAGAGAAGGTCTTTAAATTGATAGTGAAAAAAAAATGAGATTTTGAGAATTAGCTGGAATGGATCCAGCTGAATTGTCGTACCTTTACTAACACAGAGATTGTCTCATTATGGGCATAAGATGGACACTGACAAAGAGCATGAAATAATTTCTTGGGAGAGTTTAACAACAGGTAATCTTAAAACGAGTGACTTCAGTTCTTTAAAAGAACTAATTGGATTCTCCCTTGTATAATAAATTAAAAATTCTAATTTCTGGAGTCCCTACACTTTACACTGATACTAATAATTAAAGAAAGATAAGATAAAAATAAGAAGATGTAAGAAAGTTGTCTGAGAGTTCCTATAAGTTGGTTCAAAAATTTTAATTATGTACAATATTCGTGGTACTGTCAGAATTTAACGAGTCTGTTAATATAGTGACTGGCTCTCAATATGCAGAAATGGTTGTTTTACACATAGAGACTGCTGAACTTATTCAGGGTGATTCTGAGTTGACTTCACTGGTTACTCAGCTACAACAAATGATCAGAAATAGAAATCATTCACTATATATAAAACACACATAAGATGCCATACAGGTCTGCAAGGTCACCTTTGAAAGAAAGGTTATGTGAAGCTTAAGAATTTCATTAAAAACTCCATGGTGACAGTAAAGGCTTAAAGAAAGAATTCCCTATTACTTGGCAACAAGAGAAGAAAATTGTGTGACACTGTCCTACCTGTTCCTTTTGTAACTAAACTCCATTACATACAGGAAGTAACCTCAAAGTTATCCAAAGAAATAAAATTTGGCAATAGTGTATGTTCCATTTTACAGAGTTTGATACAGTGAAATACGTGCATCATACTATAGCTACATATTCAGGATTTCAATGGACAACCTCCTTAGCTTCAGCGAAGGCTGATTCTGATAGTATACATTTGTTAGAAGCTATGACCATGATGGGAATACCCATATAAATTAAAATGGACAATAGTCAGACATATATCTCTAATGAGATGAAACAGGTGTTTTGGCATATTATAAGATAAGCCATGTTACAGTAATATCACATAATTCTAAAGGACATGCAGTTGTAGAGAGATTTTATTGTATCTAAAGGAGATGCTTAACAAGCAAAAGAGGACAACAAAAACCCCTGGAGATAGATTACATAGTGCTTTATTAAACTTAAATTTTTAAAATGCTAATGAACAAAAAACTATGAATGCTAAAAGACGTTGGAATATAGCAAAAACTTCTAAACTTACTACAATATTTATTTTAAAAATATTCTGTCATCGGAATGGAAATTGAGTAATGTGTTATTCTAGGGGGTAGTTTGTGCCTATATTTCCACAAGGAAAGAAAAACTATGGGTTCCTTGCAAATTGATAAATGTCAGAGATGACAAGAGACATCCCTAAGAACTTTCCTATAGACTAGAAGAAAGAACCTAACAAGTTCAAAAGACTAGGTCATTTGTATGGTGATTTACATATCTCTGTACACAGAGACAGCTCTAGAACCAGCTGAGATTTAAATGTCTATATACAGCCAATAACATCTATTGGGTACAAACTTTTCATGAGTTATTACTATGTATAATCTTTTAAGACCGCATGAATAGAAATTAATATCTTAGTTTGATTATATGATCAAAATAACCTCTAAGGGAAGACACTTGTCTTTCTTTATTGATTTTTATCAACTGATCTGTGCACCTCACACCTTCCATATGAATGGCATTACAGAGCTATGTGTTACTTGTAAGTTTTATATATTGCAGAATTAAGGAGAAGGAAGACAGGCTTGACAAGGTTTGTGCTCTGGGATGCTGAAATTCTGGGACCTTCCATTCCAGCTAGTGTTTAATTGCACCTCAACTACATCAAAGCTATTTCTTCTAAAGTGTTGCTTCCAGGACATTTCCATAACATCTCACTTGCCCTTCAGGGTGGGGGGTACTCAGTTTCCTTTAGCAGAATAGGAACAGATGTGGTGGGAGGAAGTTGTGAGTATGGAATTGAGAGGAGAGGAGTGAGGCAGCTGAAACTAGGGTGTAAAGTGAATAAATAAATAAATAAACGAAAGAAAAGGAAAATGAAACCATTTAAACATATACGTACATAACATATGTTTATACGTATATGTACATATACGTACATAAACATTTGTTTATTCAGCAAATAATTATGCTGGTATTCATGCATGATATGATAAACACATACATACTGATTAATACTTATTCAGTTTCCATAGTTTCACATGTAGAAACTTTTGTGTTGTCCATTCTCACCAACAAAACCCCCAAATAAACAATTTATTTAAAGAAAAATAAAATGTTTTCAAGTTGGAATTCTATGAAGTAAATTGGAATTTTCTGATAATACACAACAAAATAGCAATCAAAGTAGGAAATATTTGATGACTCAAGACTCCATGATTCTAGGCTGAAGAAATGGCTCTCAATGATGGAGAGATACTAGTAGTACTGTATTGCACAGGCAGAGGACCTGAGATCAGTTCCTAGGATCTCAAACAAGAAGTTTATAGCTACATAAGACTTCAGGTCCCATGGAAGCAATTCACTCTTCTCACCTCTGAAGGCAAAACAAAGAGAAAAGTATACATACTACTACCACCACCACTATTGCTACTACTAGTATTAGTAACACTATGTTTAAAAAAAAATTACCTTCACAATTCCACAACAGTATTTATTTTATGACCACATTCAATTATTTGCATATTGAACAACAGGAACATAAACATCAGTGTTCATATAATATTTTAAATTTTGAAAACTTATTCCAATGGGAACATCCCTGGAGGGAATACAATCATTTTCTCCTGGAATACTTTATCGAAGGCTTCAGCTTGGGCTACTGTGAAGTGATTCTTCCAGTCCACAGTTGTGCCTGGAAAATGTGAATCAAATACATAGATGGATTAATAATGGTTTTAACACTGATCTAGATTCTCCCATTATGTGCTCTTACCATCTGTTTGATAAAGACCACACTGTGAAAAGAACAAATGATAATTTTCTATAGAAACCTTCTACATTCCTGAAATCAAATAAACAGACTTCTCCCTCTCTGGAAATTATGTTCCACCTTTTCCTCTTCCAAGCTATATACTAGACAATCTAACAAAAGCAACACTGGCTTGACCTTTTTATACATCCAGATGATTACTGCTTTTCACCAAACCTGTTTCCATCACACTATCCAACTCATCAATGTTTGTACTCTCAATGATCCAAACCCACTTCAATTGTTTGTCTATATTTTAGTATTTACTTATAGAAGTTCTTCACAACATGCAAACAATTTTTAAATAATATCTTAAAATAGTTTTTATTTTTTTGTGTGTGGGACCACATGAGTGCTACAGATACACACAGTTATGATCACTAGTTCAGCTGTCTTGATTTTCCCCTGAGATACACACAGCCACTCCTGGCTGAGAACATTGCAAGACTTCTGTTTCACTCAGCCATGGTTTTTTGTGATACATAAAGACCTGTATAACTTGAGTCCCTGTCCTTTATAGAACTGTCTTTTCTGACCATACATTGGATTTTACCACTTCACTCCATAGAGTCTTCAGTTTAAGCCTTAGTAATTGTTCAATTTCTCATTCTCTGTTGTATTGTCCTTCAATCCAGATGGCAAGTATCTTTTATATAGTGAGATCTTGGTCTTTGCCTTTTTATTAATGACGCTGTAAACTTCTCTGTCTTTCCTCTGTTTACAATCCATCAGCCCCCATTCTTGATTTATTTTCCAGCTGTGTCACTGTGATGTGTTCCATCCACTTCTGCTTTGGATATACACACAGAACATGAATTTAATATGTTTAAAAAGAAAGTGTTTCTTAAATTATTGTATGGTTCATTTTGCAAAGAGTGCCAGACATATAGGCCATACTCAGTGTGTGATTATTTTAATGAATCCATGAATACATGAGAAAAGTGTACCAGTGTACCTATTTTGCTGATGGGAAAAAAATTAGTCTTTCAGATATGACCAAGCATGATAATGATGTATTCAATTGTGAATGTGATGCAAAATGATTGACAATACAAGTCATGTTTTTCTTTATTATATTACTGTCTTCTGTACCATCACATAAATTAATTTTAATACTCCGTAGGCTGTATTAAAGAAAATGTAGCCAGTTCCATTATTTGTTTGTTTCTTTTTCTTTTTTATTATTGGGTACTTTATTTATCTACATTTCAGATGTTATCCCCTTCCCCAGTCCTTACCCCCAGAAACCCCTTAACCCATCCTCCCTCCTCCTATTTCTATGAGGGTATACCCCAACCTACCCACTCTCTCTCACCTCCCCTCCTTCAAATTTCTCCTTACTGAGACATCCAGCCTTCAAGGGAACAAGGCCCTCCACTCCCACTGATTTCCTACAAGTCAATCCTACTCTGTAAATACAGCTAGAGTCATGGGTCTTTTCATGTGTGTTCCCAGGCTATCTGTTTTGATACAGGGAGCTCTGGTTTGTTGGTATTGTTACTCTCTCAATGGGGCAACAAGTGCCTTCAGCTCCTCAAATCTTCTCTCTATCACGTCCACTGGGAACCCTGTGGTCAGTTTGATGGTTAGCTGTGAGCATCGGCTTATGTATATGTCAGGCTCTGGCAGTGCCTCGCAGGAGACAGGTATATCAGGTTCCTGTCAGCATGTACTTCTGGACATCCACAACAGTATTTGTATATGATGATTACATGTTGAGGGTCCTCCAGGTGGGGCAGTCTCTGGATGGTCTCTCCAACAGTTTCTGTCCTATACATTATCTCATATTTGCTCCTGTGAGTATTTTGTTACTCCTTCTAGGAAGGACTGAAGCACACAATCTTTGGTGTTTCTTTTTCTTGGGCTTCCTATGGTCTGTGAGTTCTTCTTGAGTATTTTGAGATTTTGGGCTAATATCCACTTATCAATGAGTACATACCATGTGTGTTCTTTTGTGACAGGGTTATCTCACTCAATATGATATTTTCTAGTTCCATCCATTTGTCTAAAAATTTCATGAATTCATTGTTTTTAATAGCTGAGTAATATTCCACTGTGTAAATATACCAAATTTTCTGTATCCATTCCTCTGTTGAAGGACATCAGCGTTCTTTCCAGCTTCTGGCTATTATAAATAAGGCTGCAATAAACATAGTGGAACATGTGTCCTTATATTTTAGAGCATCATTTGGGTATATGCCCATGAGTGGTATCGCTGGATCCACAGGTAATATTTTGTCCAATTTTTTAAGGAACCTCCAGACTGATTTCCAGAGTAGTTGTACAAGCTTACAATTCCACAAACAATGGATGAGTGTTGCTCTTTCTCCACAGCCTCCCCAGCATCTGCTGTCATCTGAGTTTTTAATCTTAGCCATTCTGATTGGTGTGAGGTGGAATCTCATGGTTGTTTTGATTTGCATTTCCCTGATGAGTAAAAATGTTGAACATTTCTTTAGGTGCTTCATGGAAATTTGATATTCCTGAGTTGAAAATACTTTGTTGAGCTGTGTACCCCATTTTTAATAGGGTTATTTTATTGTCTGAATTTTAATTTCTTGATTTTTTTTGTAAATTTTGGATATTAGGCCTCTATCAGATGTAGGATTGGTGAAAATCTTTTCTCAATCTGTGGTTGGATGCTTTGTCCTATTGATGGTGTACTTTACTGAGGCAATGCAATTTTATGAGGTCCCATTTGTCAATTCTTGATCTTAGAGCATAAGCCATTGGTGTCCTGTTCAGGAACTTTCCCAAGGGGCAGACCTGCCTTGGGGGGAATCTTCTTCTTCTTGTCTGTTCTTGTGGCAGTGGAGTGGGAAGAGTGTTGGTGGGGGTAAGAATTGATCTTAAGACATTCAGTGGAAGACTTTGGTCTTACAACATATTTAGGGTTCCTGTATAATAAAAGTTTACTTATCTTTCATTTTTTTACTTTGCTACTATAGCTGATCTCCCTTTTGTGATCCTGTGAGGCCAGAAACTGCAGGTTCTAGCACTTAGTACCTCATCCCAAAACAGCAAAGGATTAAGTAAATAGCCTTTGTACTGTCTCAGCAGGAACTCCTGAGCTCTTATGCCTGCTAGTCTGAGTTAGCCAGAAAAAAAAAACACTTAGAGAAGTTATTATAGAGTTTATTGTTAAGTGTTAAAAGTTTCCTATTAAAGCTATCTAAGGAGAAAAGTGGAAAGTTCTAAGGAGGAAAAAGGAAAAAAATTTCTAATAAGGGAAAAGTTCTAAGGGAAAAAATTCTAGGCAGGGGAAAAGGAAAGGAAAGGACGAGTGATTCTCTCTCTTTCTTTTTCTTTAGTACTAATACATCTTTCAGAATACACGATCACATGTTTCAATGTTTTTCACAAGTTCACATCAAAATTCAAATCATAAATTGAAATAGAAGTTTACAACAGAGAACGCTTACATGCATATTCATTAGGAGTAATTATCTGGCTAAACATCCATCACCTGTCTAGCTCTTAGGATCACTGAAGGTTTAAACTATAACTAAGAAATTAGTGAAATTGTGTATAGATAAACCCAGGAAATATTTTATCTTCTGTCCTAGCACCTATAATAAACATTTAGTTCCCTTTTAGTGAAATTTGGTTAATTGTTTTACCTCTTAGAATGTGCTCTTAGTATGAAAAACTCTGGATACTATCTAAGAGCAAATTACTGGTGACACTTGGGAGACTGTCAGAGTTCTCATTGCAGTTTTGATTATCAGAAAGGGACCTAATAGCAGTACCAGTATAAAAGAGCTTAACATTCATTGATAAAACTTTAAGAATTCTTAAAGGATCATCATTAAGACTTAAGACGTCATCTAGTTGTCTATATAGCATTATCACAAGACAGTACATGTTTGTGGATTGTCAGAGATTGGCTGCAAAGGGGTCTACTTTTACTTAGTGATCGTTACATATGTTTAATAATAATAGGAGAAGCATATTAATAGTAGGAATCTTTAGTAAAATAAGTCTCATAGAGCCTTGCAGAATAAGGTCTTACTTGTCACAGATTATATAATATTCCAAGGCAATCCATTCCAGGATGATCACCCACTAGTTATTAGCTTGTCCTATTATGGCTTCTGACATTTTCCTCTGTGCCTATGTGTTCGAGGCATTTCCCACTTTCTCTTTTATTAGTTTCAGTGTGTCTTTTTTAATATGGAGTCCTTGATCCACTTAGACTTGAGTTTTGTACAAGGAGATAACAGTGGATCTATCTACATTTTCCTACATACTGATCTCCAGTTCAACCAGCACCATCTGTTGAAAGTACTGTCTTTTGTCCACTGTATGATTATAGCTCCTTTGTCAAAGATCAAGTGACTATAGGTACCTGAGTTCATTTCTGGGTCTTCTATTCTATTCCATTGATCTTCCAGCCTGTCTCTGTACCAATATCACGCAGGTTTTTTTTTCTTTTTTCTTTTTTTTATCACTATTGCTCTGTAGTACAGCTTGAAGTCAGGGATGGTGATTCCCCCAGATGGTCTTTTATTGTTGAGAATAGTTTTCACTTTCCTGTTTTTTTTTTTATTCCAAATGAATTTGAGACTTGCTTTTTCTGTCTCTGTGAAGAATTGAGTGGGAAATTTGATGGGAATAGATTGGTCTTAGCAAGATGACCATTTTTTTTTAACTATATCAATCCTCCCAATCAAAGAGCATGGGAGATCTTTCCATCTTTGGAAAACTTCTTTAATTTTTTTCTTCAGTGAGTTGAAGTTCTTGTGATAAATATCTCTGGCTTTCTTGATTAGATTCACCTGAGCTATTTTAAATTTTTGTGACTATTATGAAGGGTGCCGTTTCCCTAATTTCTTTCTCAGCCTGCTTATCCTTTAAATAGAGGAAGTCTACTGATTTGTTTGAGTTAATTTTATATCCAGCCATGTTGCTGAAGTTAGCAGGGTTAGGAATTCTCTGGTAGAAGTTTTGGGGTCACTGAAATATACTATCATATCATTTGCAAATAGTGATATTTTTTCTTCTTCCATTCTAATTTTTATCCCTTTGATCTCCTTTTGTTGGATAATTTCTCTGTCTAGGACTTTAAATACTACATTGAATAGATAGTGAGATAGTGGGCAGCCTTGTCTAGTTCCTGATTTTAGTGGAATTGCTTCAAGTTTCTCCCCATTTAGTTTGATATTGGCTACTGATTTGCTGTATATTGCTTTTACTACGTTAAGGTATTCACTTTGAATTCCTGTTCTTTCTAAGCCTTTTACCTTGAAGGGATGTTGAATTTTGTCAAATGCTTTCTCAGCATGTAGTGAGATGATCATGTGTTTTCTTTTCATTGAGTTTGTTTATATAGTGGATTACATTGATGGATTTCCAAATGTTTAACCATCTCTGCATTCCTGGGGTAAAGCCTACTTGATCAAGGTGGATTATTGTTCTGATGTGTTCTTGGATTCTGTTTGTGAGAATATTATTGAGTATTTTTTGCATTGATATTCATAAGGGAGATTGGTCTGAAGTTCTCTTTCATTGTTGGGTCTTTGTATGGTTTATGTATGAGCATAATTGTAGCTTCATATAATGAATTGGGTAGTTTCCTTCTGTTTCTATTTTGTGGAATAGTTTATAAGGAATTGGTATTAGGTCTTTATATAAGGTCTGACAGAATTCTGTACTAAAACCATTGGGTTCTGGGCTTTTTTAGGTGGGTTAAACATTTGAAACTGTTTAGCAGCAATTTAACATTACCCATATTATCGGGATTCCTTATAATTGTCAATGACAAGAGCCTGTGGAATGGGCCCATGGATCTTTAAAGCAATATCTTCATAAAATAAAGAGTGGGAGATATACCCATGTACACCACAAATTTACTTTAATCTTACTGTTTTTCGTTTTTATTTTTAACGTTTTTTTTTTTTAAATTTGGATTCCAAGAAACTTTCTGCTGAGTGTCTATGGTGCTCTACAACTAGGAAGAGTTATTCATGGGTCAAAGAGAATGATCTACTTACTGGAATAAGGCATGTTAATGATCTGGTATTAAATATGGGGAAGAGGGCATGTTTGTGTTTTTTTCTGCAGGATGATGAAGGAGCATAGTGGCTGCCAGATACCAGGACAAAGAATCATGCTGACCTGTGAGCTTGCTGAGTTCCCTGACAATGGTGACTGAGAAGCTCTATTGGAAATAAGTTCCTGTCCTACCATTGCTTTCCTATACCCCTGATGGGAAAAGCTGCCTTGCCTCAAGTTCTTAGATTTTTTTCAACAGAGAAAAAATAAGAGAAGTCATAATGCCTCTTGCATTTTTCTTAAATGTGACCAGTTATTCAGACTCAATCATGTACTGGTCTAGAAATCAATCCAGTATTGAAATAACAGTCTTTATTTGGATGTCTGGTTCTGGACATTTTCAGAGACATATATGGAAATTAGCTGCAGTTCTTTCTGATGTTATGTTAGCAAGAGATAAAGTTGGGGCAGGATCTGGTTTTCAAACAGGTGTTAGCACATATGATAAGGCTCTTTTAATTTTCAAGTTAAAAATACTTTTGTTTCTTCTACAGTATTTAATGCAAGTTGCACTGATTGTACACCTTCTAATTGTATTTGTGATTTGAAATCTGGCATGTCAGTTATGGAGGTCTATCATTCACATTTTGTTTTAGTGCCCTGAGTATCACAGAACCTTGGCATTCTAAAAATAGCTTGCAAGTATTGGATGAAATGTGTCAGGCTTTAAGCAGAAGCTAGAGTGGAGTGGGCTTGATTATTGCTGGTATAACAGCTTTAATTACATTCATTTCTATCACTACTGTTTTTGCAATTGCTGTGGCACAAGAAGGTAAGAAACATACTTTTGGTAATCATTTGGCCAAAGATGTTACTAATGAGTTGAATATACCAGTAGATTTAGATAGGCATTTAGGAGAACAGTTTGATGCTCTTTATCCTTTTTAAATTACTGGAACGAAGTTCAGAATTTGTGGATAAGGAGCCATCTTGAGTATCATGCCAAATACCATTGGATTCATGTTAGTTCCAAAATTTACAGTGGTAGTCATTATAATTAGGTATAAGTTAAATATAAATGCAGTGTATTTGGAATAATTCTAAGAACTCTCTGGATTTTTTAATGATACCTACAGATTTATAAATTTGAAGAATGTTGCTCTGCTGAGCATTGATATGATAGATTGTGCAGATAAAATTATCCATGGCCTGAGGTCAATATTCCTATTTTTGTCAAGCTACAAGAATGGCATA